AGAAGATATGAGTATATAACTAATTAATATAAAGTTTGGTGTGAATGGATTTTATTATTTTGAAGTTAAATGACTTTGTTATCAGCACGTGCCACTGGTACAAATCCAAATACATTTAGATATAAAACGTGTATCTCATATAAAGCCTCATTTATAGAACATTATATATAATTTATTGTTTCAAGGAAATATTTGGTGGAGGAGAGAGAGAGAAAGAGAGAGACTTATTTCGCGGTATTTCAAATTGGTCTCATGTTATTCATGTCAAAATGTGATGTAAGGAAATGTTTCCCCTTCGTTTTATATAGCAGGGTATTCTATAATGATATCAGTTGCAGATTTTTTTTCTATCGGTAAGAAATGGTTTACAGTTCGAAATCTACGTTAAGTTATAGTACATTTAAAGTAAGTTTATTGCATTGCTAAACGTTTCTCAATCAAGATAAAACGTTTACAACCAATACTATTTTTACAACTAAATATGTTTTATGCAAATAAATAGTTCACGTTTCAATTAACTAACGGTGTTGTTTAGGTTAGTTTTTTTTTAAACATTTTATAAGATCGAATTTGAAATGATTCAAAATTACAAAAAGACATCAAGAACTACGCAATTAGTATGAAACAAAATATATAATAAATAAGATAACTTATTTGCTTTAATTAACAAGTGAAATGTTTCCAATCCAATGTTTCCAATCTAATATAGTCCAAAGGGTGACAAAAGGATATAAATATGGTCACTAAAGATTATCTTACGGCTGGCAGTAAAAAAACTTGCCAAAGTGGGGGCATCCGTTTGGTTGTTTGGGATATACAAGTACGCAACCAACATTCAATCAATCCAAACTAATAATTGTTTTTTTTATCCCGCATCTTTTTATATTAATTTATTTTAACTCAAAATAATAATTGAAATAACTTTCTGAAATTAAAGCCTAACATATATCAGACGCTTAACAAAACGATATACCATACGATAGATGAAACGCTTAACGATATCATATACCATACGATAAACGAAACGCTAAACGCTAAACCATACCATGTACCATACGACAAATAAAACGCTTAACGATACCATGAACCATACGATACACAAAACCCTAAACGATGACATTTACCATACGATGAACGAACGATGAACGAACGCTGACCGAACGCTGACCGAACGTTGTACGGACGCTATACGAACGATGACCGAACTCTATACGAACGATTCCCGAACGCTGTACGTACGATTCCCGAATGAAAAAAGTGTTAACTTTTACGTTACAGGGACTGTAAGTACACAAAAAAGGTGATAACATAAGACTTAAGGGTCTATTTTACCCTCACTATATGAGAATCACTGTCAAATAATACATGTATCTTCCAATCATGAAAGGGAGAGATTTTTGGAAGCTCTTTTAAAGATAGAAAATTATGCCTTTACATCTTAAGTTTTCAAAGCAATGCCAACAAGTTTGGCAAGATTCTGCTATAAGGGATTCATTCATTGGGTCTGTTTTCAATCTTAATGTGAGATTGGTAGTAAAAAAAACAGCTTAACAAACTGCTACACGTTTTTTTCCTTGAGTTTATATTGAATCAGAAAGTTGAACTATAGAGGACTCAAAGATACTGATATATAAAAACAAGATTATCATTAATTTAGGATTTTATTTTGAGAATTTAGTGTAAAAATAAAGACATATCAGATAAATTTTGCAAAAAAATTAGATATAATTAGTAAAATATTAGTAAATAAATAAAGAAAATTTAAAGCATTGTTGATGCAGGATTCATTAAAAATGCTAGACATGGACTTGGAGATTGGAGTAGTTCACAAGTTTTAAAAATTAACTATCTAATACAGCTCTTTATATAAAGCTTCTTTTTAGCCAGTCTTTACAAGATGCAGAAAAAAGAAGAGGTTTTTTGGGCTACATAATGTACCAATATATACATATATATATTTCAATTGGTTCTCAAATTTTAGCACCAGTGTAGAAGCAGTTAATCTAAGAGCAAAATACATGAAAAGCAGTTTATTTAAAAGACTGATTAATAGTTAGAAAATAACATTCAATAGTCTGTTAGTACATGGAAGTAAAATGCAATATGATAATTCCATGATTATATTAAGTGCAAGACATTTGTTAATATCTAAATTTAAAATGTCACTGTTTATTTTTATTTTTGCTCATTATAAGCAAAGAGTACAAAAAAATTCTAGTCTTGTCAAAGTCAAGTTGTGACTTATCTACATGCAGGAAGGTTCCCAAATGCGTGTGATTTACTCCCAAAATTGATGGTATTCACTATTCAAATTTCATAATGACCAGTCAATTATCAAACAATATTTTTTAGTCCTTTTTCTGCAGAACTTTGCAGAAATAATATTAATATCTAGCATAGAGTTAGTATTTTATGCAAGAATATACTAGACAAAATTGAAATGTGTTTATTAACAGTTACTTTGAATTTTGATTCAATACTGTTTTGAAAGATGTGATTATATAAATCACATTTATTTTGTTTTGTCAAATCTGTGGACAAATGCAAAATTTTTCTGAGTGACTTTTAGTGAACCAAATGACTGGGTTGAAGTCACAAAAATACTACCAAAAGTGTTTTGGTTGGTATATATGGAATCATATCAGAATGTATAGAATTCAGTTAAGGTGAACCAAGAGAGAAATAAAATGAGCATTTCTGATTGTGAAACAACTAAGAACACTTAAGTCCGCAAGTTAGTACACGTGTTTTTCCATATGGTCAAACGTGTTTTCTTTAAATACACCTATAGAACTATATTTAACAGGTTGCATGTTAGTATTTCTGATTGCGAAATAATTTCTGAAACAAATATAAACAATTGTCAAGAGCAACAGTTCAAGAGTTGTTCAATATGTCAAACTTTTGTTTCTTTAAATTTGGAACTGTACATGGCAAGATAAAATTTATAAGGGTTCTAATTTTAGACAGTATATCATTGTGAAATATTAATTAGAAATATCAAAACAACATTGACAGACAGATTTTTCATAGTTGGAGAAAATCATCTGTCAGCATTATTTTTGGCTTATTAGGACAACAGTTATTGGCTTGCTCAACATCCAAATGCTCTGTAGAAGCATTATGATACCATTGGAAAACATGTATATTTAAACATTTCCACTGATTTGTTCATTTCTGTATTTTTACACTTAAGTAGTCTAATACGAAACAAAAAGATTGTTCATTGTTGAACTGGTAGACATTGTATTCAAAGGTTCTACCACTCATAGAAATTTCTATCAGATTTTAAAATTTAGTTGGTTTGGAAAATTGTCATTCTATGATAATGCAAGACTTCTCTTGACAAAAATATTTTCGTTCTAAATCTATAAGATATTTAAAAGAGTAGTATATCTAGCAGAAGAATAAGTACTCAGGGAGACTATAAATTAAAAAAAAAAAAACAAGTTTATAGATTAATCCAGATTTAGCATAATCATGAAACAACTTTTGTTTGAGTCTTTATTATACTTTGTTTGTATTAAGGACACTTATTTACAAAGTATATTTTAATTGATTATAATTTCTTTGACAATTAAGCAGAAAAGAATTTATTTTCAAAGATATGATATTGATCAGGTTATCAAAAAGATGACAGCAATCATATATTCTCTGTTATTATATTAAAACTATAGAGAAAACAATGGAAAGTTAGAGAGAAGCTAATTGTTTTCAAATAAACTAAAGTTTTGAAAACTAATATTTCAAAGTTGAAAGTAAATGATACTAAGGTTGGATTATTTCTTGTCGATTTGTACAAGCAATAAGAACAACCTATTCAAAAATAAATGCTTATTTACTGTTGCAATAATATTACAACACATTTATTTCATAATAAAGGAGCTTTAATGAAATAATTTCTATACTGGCCTGTAGATTATTTATTCAACAGATATAGAAAGATGTGGTATGAGTGCCAATGAGACAACTCTCCATCCAGTCTATTTTTGCATACTTTTAATTATGCAATCTGCAAAGTTTTGCCATTGATACATACAGTTATACAGCATAGCTTTATTGTATAATAAATTCAAATTTAGTAATTTCGGTTTTGACTAATATCCGTATTTACAAAATTAAGTGCAGTTATTTTTTAAAAATTTTGACATAGTTTTATATGTTGGAAATTGTATATGTGTGAGAGAATTTATCCTCCACCAAAATAAAATACTGCTTGTTAATCAGTAAATATTCTATATAATATAAATGTAATTTCATGGTAAGTATATTTAACCAAATTCATATAAAATGGTTATTTTTGAAATCTCAAGAAGAGATTTTATATGAATTTATAGGGTTAAATATACTTACCACAATCCACCACCACCCCTGGAATAAATTCAGTTTTTTTTTCACATAATTGAAATTATTCAATTAAACGAAAAATTAAACTAAACTTACTGTATCTTACACAGGTAAATTATGACATAGGTGAGTACATCTTATGGATGTAATTTTTAATCACCTAGTTAATTGCGATGAGAACATGTTGTGAAAGCAAACATATTCTATATGATATAAATGTAATTTCATGGTAAGTATATTTAACCCTATAAATTCATATAAAATCTCGTCTTGACTTTTCAAAAATAACCATTTTTATTGTAACATAGAAGATGGCTCTAATGTACCAAAAAGACCCATCATTTATTGGTCATTATGTCCTACAAAAATTGATATTTTTCAAAACATTATGAATATTCATAAAGGGTGGACAGCCTTGCATATGCAGATCACAGATTTTGAAAAAGGTTTTGGAGGAAGGGAGGTCTAGAGGGGTGGGCCCTGACCCATTAATTACGCATGCATTCTTTAGATTTAATTTGTAATTGTATAGGCATGAACAATTTTCACACAATGAATTAATAGTGTACTATCCTCATCCCCCAATCAATTAAAATGAAAATGAATGTCATAATGAATAACTTGCAATACATAATTTCTTATTTTTATTTCAGCTCTGACAATACCTGGGAGCCAGAGGATAATATAGATTGTCCTGAACTTGTTGCTCAATTTGAACGCAAGAAGAAATCTAAAGAGGAACTGAAAAGGAAACTTTCTGACTCATTCATGGTATCACCAGAGAAGAGACAGAAAACGGTAACTACTTATATTTTTATGTTCCTTCTTAGGGGCATAAGGTTTTTCAGTCTGTGTGTCTGTTCATCTGTCTGTCTGTCAGTTTGTCCGTCTGTCCCGCTTCAGGTTTTTGTCAAGGTAGTTTTTGATGAAGTTGAAGTCCAATCAACTTGAAACTTAGTACACATGTTCCCTATTATATGATCTTTTAATGCCAAATTAGAGTTTTGACCCCAATTTCACGGTCCACTGAACATAGAAAATGATAGTGCGAGTGGGGCATTGGTGTACTATGGACACATTCTTGTTTATAATATTTATCAAGAAAAAATTTATTTCAGAAGTTTTGGCATTTAATATTGTGATTGTTGAACAATGATAAAAAAAAAAATTAATTATTGCAATTTTAGGAATATGATGATCCGAATTTTTAATAATTTTTATTTTTTCCAAAATTTGTTGATGCAGTTTTGCAATGATGAAAATATTGCAAAAATTTCTGAAATTTATGTTAGTTGATCTCTTAATTTAAAATTAATTTATTTCTTAATCAGGAATGGTTTGTATTCTGATGTACTTCTAACCAAAAAAAACTTCATATTTGGTAAGCAGCTTTATAATGATGAGTTGTAATGTTTGAATACCTATAATTAATACTGGAACTTTTTTTAATATTTGATACAAAATGTATTGATTTGTAGGAATCTTATCCAGAAAATGAAACTGAAGCAATAAATGATGCAGGAACAGACAAACAAGCAGATGCCAACACTTTGCTAAAGGTATGATATAGATAAATGGTTTCTATAGAAAAGAGGGAACATATAATGTGGGCAATCAAAAACTCTTAATTTGAAGAAAAATAACAATGATAGAGGCGATTGATACCAAAGGCACATTCGAACTCATACATGTTAGTAAAAAAATAAACTAACAACACCATGGCTAAAAAAGAAAAAAAAGACAAACAGACAAACAACAGTTAACAAAACAACATAGAATACCAAAGACTGAGCAACAGGAACCCAACCAAAAAATGGGGGTGATCTCAGGTGCTCTGGAAGGGTAAGCAGATCCTTCTTCACATGTGTCATCTGTCGTGTTGTTCATGTATGTACAATCCCAGTTATATGTCTTATAAAAAGAACAATAAAGGACAATTAACAGTCCTCAAAACACTGCATACTAAAAATCTAAAGACTGAGCAACAGGAACCCCACCATAAATTAGTGCAAAATAAGGTATGCCTGATGTGTTCCTGATTCTTACTTCATTATTGGCACATGTCTATGTTTGCTATTTTTTGTTTTCCTGGAAAATTGTAGCTAGGTAAAAAAAATGAATTATACATGTTGTACTTGAGGTTAGGACAGGGGAAAGGATTTTTATTTGGGGTCTTGTTGCTCAATCACTAGTTTTCATTCATGTATGTTATATATGCCACTGGACATAAAACATGAATGAATATATAACTTGAAAAAGGAAGCAGAACAAATGTACTGTTTTTCTATAGGAATTACCTTAAAAACTTTTAAAAACTCTATGTTCTTTATATAGGGTTCTCGTGAATAGCAACATGTACAATTTTGTTTTCTTTCATTAGAGACTACCTGAAGTAGGAACCAGTACAACAGGGTATGAGGTTTTCTTCAGATTCAGATTAAATAACATTAATGAATTGTACCCGAACTGTGAAGACATTGGTTTGAATAAGATTATAGAAAGCAAGGTAAGATTTATTCCTTAATTTCTAGAAATTTAAAGCTAGTTTCCCTGAGGTACATTCATTATGTTTTGAGTTGTAGAGATAATCAGCTAGAACAGGTCAATATCTTATCATTAATATTTATTATTGAGCCAAGGCTTTTACTTTAAGATATTTTTATGCCCTACCTAGGGGCATTATGTTTTCCAGTCTGTGCATCCGTTTGTTTGTCCATTCGTTCGTTCGTTTGTTCATTCATCCATTCGTCCGTTTGTCCGTCTGTCCAGCTTCAGGTTAAAGTTTTAGGTCAAGGTAGTTTTTGATGAAGTTGTATTCCAATCAACTTGAAACTTAGTGCAGATGTTCCTTATGATATGATCTTTCTAATAAAATGCCAAATTAGAGTTTTGACCCAAATTTCACGGTCCACTGAACATAGAAAATGATAGTGCCCGCTTCAGGTTAAAGTTTTTGGTCAAGGTAGTTTTTTTAAGAAGTTGAAGTCCAATCAACTTGAAACTTAGTACACATGTTCCATATGATATGATCTTTCTAATTTTAATGCCAAAATAGAGTTTTAACCTCAATTTCACAGTCCACTAAACATAGAAAATGATAGTGCGAGTTAGGCATCCGTGTACTATGGACACATTCTTGTTTAAATTGCTTCAAGATGTCTTCTGAAAAATGGGTAAATTATCTTGTTGGATAAGACATTGGCTCCTAAATAATTTTACCAAACATTCTGTGTTAAGTGGCCATTTTACAGGTCATATAAGCCAATTTCAACATGTTTTTGACATCATAGTGACATCACAATTAGAATTTTTGATTTGAAGTGTCATTATTATTTCACCCTATTTATATTAGATATAATAAATTTTCTGTTTTTGCAATTTCAGGGGTCAAATAATGGCTCTTATTATACCTTTTGCTTTTAAAGGCTATGTTTATTAGTTGATTTATAAAAAATTACTTTCTTCTTTGAAGTTTGTGAACTGGTTAAAAAAATGTTATAAATTATCTGTGTTCTTACTATGTGTATTTCAAAAGCAGGTCTGTGTGAGTTTTGTTAATGCATTTACTAGTCCTTTGGTTAATTTTTTTATTTCAATTTGCATTTATTTATGAAACTATCAATTTCCAAAGGACATGATTCATGCCTTATTTACTGGAACTTAATTTTCCTATTTCTTCATCAAAGATTACAGTATATTGTAATTGTCCCCCGTGTAACGCATTGCAAGGGACATGGAAATACAGGGTGTGCGTCTGTGTGTGCGTCTGTCTGGTCTTGTTAGTGCTCTCGCGGGTATAATTTTCGTAAGATTTTTATAAGACTTATACTATAGGTTAATATCAGCAATATCTAGGACAGTATAGTGGTGGACAGTCCACTTTTTTTAAAAGAGTTTTGACCCTTGGAAATATTAAATTTATGGAAAATGGCCTCGTTAGCGCTCTCATGGGTACAATTCTTGCCAGATTTTTATAAAACTTATACTAAGGTTAATATCAGCAGTATCTAGTACAAGTTTTATAAAGGTGGACGATCGACTTTTTTTAAAAGAGTTATGACCCTTGGAAATATAAAATTTATGGAAAATGGCCTTGTTAGCGCTCTCATGGGTACAATTCTTGCCAGATCTTTATAAAACTTATACTAAGGTTAATATCAGCAATATCTAGGACAAGTTTTATAAAGGTGGACGATCAACTTTTTTATGACCCTTGGAAATATTAAATTTATGGAAAATGGCCTTGTTATTGCTCTCACGCGTACAATTGTTTATAAAACTTATAGTTTACTATAAGTTATGCCCTTGAAGGTCTGTTTGAAATATTTAGTATACAATAAAAAAAAAAATTTTGTCCCGCACACACGCTTTTTATTTATAAATTGTTTTAAAGAACAACAACAAAAAGTTTTTTTTTTAGTTATTGCCCCTGGGAGTGGGGGGGGGTGGGGGGGGGGGTGGGGGGTGGACATTGGAACTCTGATCTTTATTTGGTTTGTTCTTAATCAAAATTGGCATTTATGACAGATCTTTGGTAAATATTTGCATCTTTTGTAAACATTAGACTTACTCATCTGTATGTTGACATCTAGGTATTTTTTAATTTGTGTGTCCCTGTATTTGCCCGCATCTCTTAAATTGATTGATTGATTGATTGTTGTTTAATGTCTAGGGGCAAATTTTTCATTCAAGTTCAGAATCTTTAATTCATATATACCTAATATTGTAGTGGATAGAACTTAACCAGCAGGAGAGATATATGTATTATATGCTGGCACTTGAAGTTTCCAAGATGACATCGGAACAGCAGCTTAAGTATTTCCAGAACCAGGGTAAAATAAATGAGGAGAATAAAGTGACTGCTTTAAGCAAGACAGAAATAGGTAAATGATAGTATTAATGAACAGTATCAGCTTTATGCACCAGATACACACTTTGACAACTGAAATTGTAGTTGCTCTTTATGATATCGAATCGGCTACTTAGAAATTTTATAATCTTTAATCTTTGATAGCAGGCACCATGGAAATAAGATTTTACAACATTTTAGGTAGTATACATTTAGATAGCTTCTTCAAGAGAAATGTGTCTTGAAAAAAAAAAAATTCACAAAGGTTTAAATTTGGCCCTTAATTCTTTTTTAATTGTCTTGCCTTAATTTGGTGCCCACGTCACGACAGCAGTGTCAACAATGTATTTGTTTGTCATTAGGACAGTTTAAGAGGAACCACTAATGGTAGGTGAATAATATTTGGTGTTCAGTTGTTTAAGCTTTGGCATACCTCATTTCCATGGAGATTATTGGGTTCCGCCCCGTCAATCGTGTCTACTGACTTTCAAAACTTTTGCTTTCTTTTCATGTATTAGATAGTGATTATGTCAGTTTAAGGGTATCCAGTAGAGGAAGGTCAATTATATTTGATATTCAGTTGTATAAGCTTTGCCATATCTCATTTCCCTGGAGATTTTATTCAACCGCTCGGTCATGGTCTATTGACTTCAAAACTTTTGCTTTGTTTAAATGTACTAGTTTGTGATTAGGTCAGTTTAAGAGGAACCACTAGTAGTAGGTCAATCAACGATTTCCAATTTGTGAACTGTCCTGTACGTTTCCTATGTCACAATGCTTGTGATATTACGTCAGAGTAAGAACCGATTGTTCAATGATGTCAATTACTCTGGTTGACCTCAGGTCAACTGATGTAATTCATTCATAAAAAAAAACAACTTGAGATTGGTGAATAATATTTATGTAATAGTATGCAGTTTTTAAATTATTGGTTCCTCTAATTTCCATGAAGAATAATGACCCAGCCCCCATCAGACGTCAGAATTTTAGCATAACTTCAATTTTAAAGTTTATGAATATTTACGTTATAGGGAATCACTTATGATAAGTCAATGATATTTGGTTAGCAGTTGTATAAGCATTGGCACATCTCATTTTCATGAATATTATTTTGCCTAGCACCTTCAGTCACAGTTCAATAACCCTGAATGTCTTGCATTGTTTACATGTAGCAGTAATGCCATTTTAATTTCAATATTTACGTTTTACTTTCAAAATTTCATACCAGTGATACATATCTCTGTGACAACATTTCTAAATTCTAGCTTAATTTTAATATTAAAGTTTATGATTATTTATGTTATAGGGAACCACTAATGATAAGTCAATGAGCATTGGCATTGGCACATCTCATTTCCATGAATATTATTTTGCCTAGCACCTTCAGTCACGGTTCATTGACCTTGAATGTTTTGCATTGTTTACATGTACAAGTATTGCAATTTTAATTTCAATATTTACTTTTTACTTTAAAAAATTTCATACCAATGACAGTGTTCCAGCTAGGATTTGAAAATAGAGGGGCTAGTTTTTAAAAAGGGCACTTTAGCGCGTTCTCACTGAAAAAAATCAAATACTTAATATTACCACATAATGACATATTTTTAGCAAGCATGAAGCTAAGTTAAATACTCTATACTATTACATACATTGAAAATTGTGAAGGTTTGGTTGTGAATTTAAATAAGAGTGCCAATGAGACAATTGTCTTTATTTCAATCTTGAGAAATAGATTAATTCAACAAATAAGTTTGTTAATTCAACTTTGAAAGTTTATTTATTATCAATTTAACAAGCATCTCCGTATATTTCATGTTGAGCGTATCTAATAATATCAATAAGTTTGTCAAAAGGGATTTCAATAAGAAAATTGATACAAAAATCGGACTTTCGAGAGCTCCGTATTCGGCACAATAAGAAACTAATTCAACTTTGAAAGTTTATTATCAATTCAACAAGCATCTCGGTATATTTCATGTTGAGCGTATCTAATAATATCTATATTAAAGTTAGTCAAAACGGATTTCAATTTAAGAAAAATGATATAAAAATCGGACTTTCGAGTGCTCCGTAATCGGCGGAATTTACAATAGAAGAACAATTGCGATATCTGATAGAAACCTTTCTTCTTCTCGATTTTTCATAAAAGTAAAGAATTAAATAATTTTTTTACCTTTGATGGTCATTATTCCTGAAAAAAGATGTAATAGACTGGCAATGAGTTGGTCAATTTTTCTTTTTTTCGTCGGCATTTTGCGTGTTGACGATTTACAATATACTATTGGAATGATTCTTTTTTAAAAAACGTTATTTTATAAATAACAAATACAAGAGAAGTGGACATCGTTCACATTTATTTTATAAATTCTATTTTGCATCGTCAGGTGTTAAAAAACAATTCATTTAACTTGGATGTTTGGTGCTTCCGGGCAAAGGGATTAGACAGGGTCGTAAATTTCACCTGATTTAGTAATTGACTCTAATCAAATAGGTAATTATATACAGGTAACAAGTGTCAACAATTTTGATCTGTTGTCTTAATGAAGTGTGTGTATAAAGAACTCAACAAAATGGCGACGATATGAGGAAAAAAGATCGTTTTTTTAAACTTTTTTCAAAAGGGCACAGAGGGGCGCAGCGGCGCAAAATTTTAGGGGCGGGGCGCGGCGCCCCTCCATTTCATGCTAGCTGGAACACTGAATGATACATATTTCTGTGACAACAGTAAATTAATCTGGCCAATATGCTACAAATGTCTAATAAATAAAGATATGATATTGCTATTGATATTAAAAATAACTTATAAATGCATGTGTGAGTTTTCAACTCCAAATTTTTATTTTATATTTGTGATCTCTTATTACAATGTAACCTAAAATTATTTACTTTGGAATTCAATTACCATGATTACATTTGAAATAATGTATCTCTTGAATTTTGAAAGTTTTGTTATTTTTAAGTTTAGTTGAAAAATGCACATTTATATTACAAAAGTAACATAAATTTGTTAATTTCAGATATAATGCAGAAGCACCAAGAAGAAAGGTTGAAAACAAAAAATGATACAATGAGTTCATTAAAGGAGCAGATACAAAGTTATGAAAAACAGATGCAAGAGAAGGATTTCCAGAACCAAGTTTTGAAAAATGCATTAGTTTGCATCAATAATTCAAATATTAAGAATGACATCAGTTCAACTGGAACCAATGTTATGTATTTGTATGACAAGCTTAAAAGTCAACCAGATGTATTCAAGGATTATTGCGGTTTTAGCTTCACTCAATTTGAGACTATTTATGATTTGATTTTCCAAGGAAAAAACAAAGAAAAAAACTTAACATTAAAAACAAATTTTTTAATGGTTTTATGCAAGCTTTGGAATAATTATTTATTTGAATCTTTCGCATGCAACCTCTTAGTGAATGAAACTTCAGTAAGACGCATTTTCAATACCTTCTTAGGGATAACAGCAGACAGACTAGAAAAACACTTTACCTGGCCTAATCGTGATACTTTGATAGCCAGGATTCCAAAGGATTTTCGAAAAAAATTCCCAAATACAATAGCTTTAGTTAAGATGGTAACAGTTGCTCAAAACAGTCAAATAGAGTCTGAAAGTACAGTGCTAAATAATGATACTAATAAAAAGAAAGAAACCAGTAAGACAGGGAAAAACTGTTACCCATCTATCTGCACAAAGGGAGATGATTCAATGATTTATAAAGGATTTGTTGTTATTGATCTGTGTGGGTCTGTTATGTGGTCTTCAAAGCTTGTCAATGTATGTGACAATACCTCAGACACAGAAATATTCAATAAGTGTGGATTAAAAGGAAAACTTGAGTCTTGTCTTAGACAAGGAATGCTTAAGAAATTTGATGCAATTGTATTTGAAGGTGAATTTGCTATTGAGAATAAAATACAACGTATGGGCCTTCAATTTATTAAATCAAAAGGTAAATCTTGTGTCAACCATGAAAGTCAATCATTGTATCCTGACAGAGACATACCGTGTCAATCATGGCATTCTGATAGTGCTGAACCATGTCAATCATTACATTCTGATAGTACTGAACCGTGTCAATCATTACATTCTGAAAGTGGTGAACCGTATCAATCATTGCATCCTCATAGTGATGTACTGTGTCAATCATTGCATTCTGACAGTGATGAACCATGTCGATCATTGCATCTTTATAGAGCTGTACCGTGTCAATCATTGCATTCTGACAGTGCTGAACCGGGTCAGTCATTGCATCTTTATAGAGCTGATCCCTTTCAAATTTTGCATGTTAACAATGGCGTACCGTCTCAATCATTACATTCTGATAGTGCCGAACAGCGTCAATCATTGCATCTTTATAGAGCTGTACCGCGTCAATCATTGCATGCAAGCAGTGCTCAACCGTGTCAATCATCGCTTCCTTACAGTGATGTAACATGTCCGATATTGCTTCCTCATAGTGATATATTATGTCAATCATTGCATACCAACAGTGCAGTACCGTGTCAAGTGGATTTAATCGATAGAGTCTTTAGTGAAGTTAAAAGGTTTAGAATTATATCAGATGGTATACCATGTTCCCTGAAAGATTCAAGAGATTCCATTTTTGAAGTGTGTTCATTTTTGACTAATTTTAAACAGTAAATTAGGTGGAGAGTTCACCAAGGTACTTTTCAGTTATTTCAAATTATAGAAAAAACAATGTAGTTTGATTTTTTTTATTGTATAACATTTAGAATTTTTTATGAATGTTTAAAAGCATTCCATGTGTAAATCATTCCAGTAAATAAAAAACTCATCATAGATACCAGGGTTGTAATTTTGTACGTCAGAAGCATGTTTCAACTTCAACAAAAGCCTCATCAGTGATGCTTGTTTCAAAAAAGTTAAAGGCTAAATAAATTACAAAGTTGAAGATCATTGAACGATTTAAAGTTTTGTAAACAGTTCATTATAAACTAGGTTCCATACTTCTAATTTTGTTTTAAAGATGACTTGGCTAACTGTCATGGAATATCTGAACACCAATT